AAACATGGAATCAGATGTATGCTGGGCTTCTCAGATGAGAGGGACCATGGTCAGCCAGATTCACGGCCATATTGCTTGCCCGTGCAAGTCAAATCGCTTTGTCTTAGAGACTTTTATGTGGGTGTGAGGTTTAGGGTTTACAGAAATAAACACAGCTCATCTCATAGCCCTATTATAGGATTTTCTCTATAGAAGCACAGCCTCTGTACAGGCCTAGAATGTTTTGACAGCTCAGGGAGATGCTCAGGAAAACCTGTGGCTAGAGCATGCCCATGAGATGCTAATCACACAGCTCCCCACACCCTCACCAGGAGGCCTGAACCACCACCCTGCCCTCGGGACCAGCTGCATGAAGCTCATTTATGAACCGACCTTGTCCTCCTGCTCTGATGCTGGAAAATGAGATGATTAATTCATTTCCATCACCACACTGCCCATAAGTCACGCCCGAAGGGGCTTTTTTTTCTTTTGGAGTTTCCAATGACAAAGATTTCATTATCCTGAGCAATAATTTTTAACCAGTGCAATGCAAGCTTTCACCCTACCTGGATTAGGCCCATATGTGAGAAGGCACCGCAGGGAGCTGCGGTGGGGGAGGGGGGTGGTTTCTTACCTCTCCCCCACCCCTGCCCTTTTTCTCTGGGTGGGGGCTAACTTTCCTCCTTCTCGGCCAGCCTCCTTCTGAGCCAACCCATCAAATCTCATGGTCTCTGTGTGCCCCCACTGTGAGGAACCCTTCCTCCCAAGAGAGCCACCAGGCCCAGGCATTCCACTCATTCTGCCTGCCCCTCCCTCCCTGCACCAAACCCTCTTCCCCTGAACATCAGAGCCAAAGGGCACAGAATCATCAGCATTATCATCAAATGGGAGCCAAAGGGTTTTCCTTTTAAGCAGCAAAGCAGTTTCAAGACCACTACTAGACAGATGATAACCATCTGTCTAAAAGGTTGGCTCACCTCCTCCAGGCCACATCTTCTGCCCTGTCAGTTTTCACACTGAGGCCTTATTTCTCCAGACCAGAAGGCTAAAGTTACAGGAAACAGTCAGAACCTAAAGAGAGCTCTGGAGACCCTCAACAGCAGCTAACCAGCCTGAGTCCTCTGCTCGTTGCCCTCATGGAAAAGGACAGTTTTCTCTGGGGATTTCCGTCAGGCCTGACTTAGCCTGGGAAGACCAGGAGCCCTGCTGAGAAGGACTTACCCTGGAGCAAGACTTGGGTGCCTCTGGCATCCCACTGCCCAACCCAGACCAGGTCCCAACCTCATGTGGCTCCCACCCTCACCTGCCACTCTGAATTTCCTGTAAGTGATGCTGCTGCCACTAGGCCAGGCACAGGCTTGGTTCAGACAACTTGTGGCAGGCCTAAAGGGAAATCTTGGTGTCAGATTTGAGAAAGCATACCTCCATTTAAATAGCAACTACTATTTAATGAATACCAACCAAGCACAAAAGACAGTCATGTAGTAAGTATTTTACTTCTTCATAGATCAGATTGCACAGCAGATACTGCATTTTTTGAGCTATGAAAATGGTGGCTTCCTATGACTGACCTATACCCAAGCACGGGAGACCAAACACCAAGGAAAAGGCCTTGTTGTTCACTTCCAGGAGCCCAGGAGGCTGTAGCAGAGAGCCGAAGTGGTGCTGTGCGTGGAGGAGTAGCAACCCCAGAGGCTTCAAGACAACCTGGAAGGGGGAGCAGTGAGTCCTCCCAGAGGAACGAGTGTGACACAGGAAGCTGGTGGGGCCACCTACTGAACCTGGAAGCCCAAGCTGAAGATCTGGACTTCATAGCAGTCACCAGTCAGTCACAAGAGAGGCATCTGGAGGATGTCTGCTTCCTCACGTTCTTAGCTACCATTGCTACATATTGACATCTGCCTCAAAATACAGTAAAGTGTATGTGGGGCAAGCACAGAGAAGGAAACCACAGCTCAGAGATGTGTGCCTGCTGGGGAGCCTCCAGGTCACCCCTGGCCCAGAACAGCCCTGTGCCACCCCCCACTCCAGCCCCACTACAAGGCAAACCCCAAATCACTGTGTCACAGCCTCCCACCCACCTCGTGTCCTAAATGTGGACTTGCAGGTGACCAGCTGCAGACAGATGATGATACAAGTACATGCCAAGGTGCTGGGCGATTTGTAGGAAGTGGCAGTATTTTTTAAATTACAAGACTTTTCCTTAGAGGTAAAATTTATGTAATGTAAACCATTTTAAAGTACATAATTTAGGAAAAAAAGTACATAATTTAGTATATTTATGCAATAGTATATTTAATTTAGTATATTTACACAATTGTGTACACAGATACACAATTTTATACATCTGCTACCTCTACCCAGGTCCAGAATAGTTTTAGTCACCCATAAAGGAAACCCCGCATTCACTAAGTCACTCAATTCTCTACCTTCTAGCCCCTCCCAGTCGCCTATTTGCTACTGCTATGGATTTACCTGTCTGGATGTTTCATATAAACAAAATCACACAACAAGCACCTGGCTTCCTTTGCTTAGCATGTTTGGACATTTATCCACGCTATAGTATATACTGAAATTCTATTCCTTTTCTTTTTGTACCAGGGATTGAACTCGGGACCTTGTGCTTATGAGACAGGTGGCAGAACCACTGAGCTAAATCCCCAGCCCTCTATTCCTTTTTATAGTGGGATAATATTTTATTGTATGTATTTAGCAAATTTTGTTTATCCATTCATCTGCTGATGGAATTTGTTTCCACTTTTAACTACTGCAAACAGCACTACTATAAATAAATAGCACTTCTATATGCATGTACTACACAACTATTTGAGTCTCTGCCTTCAATTCTTTGGGGCATATAACCAGGAGTACAAATGCTAGGTCATATAGAATTCTATATATACTTTTTGAGTAACAGCCAATTTTTTTGCATGGAGCTGCCTCCTTTTACATACCTAAAAGTGGTGGGAGATTTATCTGATGGTTTTGTGTGATGTGGATCAGGTGGGAGAGGCCAAACTGGGGCTCCTACCTGGCATTCCCATGGTACCCTAGTTCTCCCCCAGCCCAGGGCCCAGCACAAGTGGTCAGAGGCGGCCCTCAAGAGTCTAGGTGAGAAGGAAGGGGATGCGGGGAGGGAGACAAAGAACAGAGAGGAGGTCACGATCCTGCTCTGGGTCATAGTCCTAAGACACAAGAGCCAATCACCAAGACTACAAGGGCTTCCTCACTTAGGTTCCTGCTATTGACAGCAGGCTGGCGGCTGGATGCCTCTCCAGATCCCCTTACCGGATATGGGGCTGCAACCTGAAATGAGGAAAACGAAGGAATGAGGGAATGTGCTGTAAATCACTTATTGGCAGCCTGCTGCCTCCCAGCCACACCCAATTGGTGTGAGATGCTGCAGCGGCTCAGAATTTCCACGCTGGCCTGCACCAGGGTTTCCCCTGGGCACTAATATCCTGACCGGAGAACTGAAACCATGTGCGGAGAACACCGCAGGGGCCTGACTCATCCTGTCCTGCAGCCAAGGGCATCACCTCTGAGTCTCTCCTGGCATCGGGCCCGCCAGTCCCAGGCCTGGAGAAAACCTTCTTCCCTTCATGCCTGCATTTTCCTGTTTTCAAAATGACAATGAATTCAGGCTCCCTAGCACATTCCAGATGCATCTTTGATTCATGGAACTTTCCCACAGTCCTGGCTTTCCTCACCTGGTCCCAGTGAGAAAACTGAGAAACAAAGAAAAAAAGCGACCAGTTCTGGGAAGCCCTCTGGACAGGGTGTCTAAGGTCATGACAGCAGCCAGGTTCCCAAGGCCAGGCATCCTGCCAGCCCTGGGCTGGGCCAGGTGGAAACAGGAATGGGGCTGCGCAGGAATGCCTAGGTACCCAGCACAACAGGAATTCCTTTAAATGTGCAGTATGAATATATCCCTCTCAAAACAAACCCAGATAGAAACCAAACATAAAAAAGCAAAAGGATGTGTCTGCCTGCTTTCTGAAAGAATCCTTCAGGACGTCTTTGATCGCTGTTCTGAACAGAACTGTCTCCACCTCTTTCTGCAGCTGTGTGTGCCATGTGAAGCAGCAATTAATGTAAATAAGCCCTGCTTCACCCGAGGAGATTCTCTCAGTTCCTGCTGTTTGCTAAGCCACCAAGGCCAACCCTGCTTAGGACACTGGGAACAGAAAGAGGAAGAGCGTGAGAGCAGGGTTGAAAAATCCCACAGTTCACAGAAGAGTCAGGCTAACATGGAGAGACAGAGGCGATAAGAGCCTTGTGTATCCCCAGGGAGTCCTTCTCACTTCTGGGAAACCTCAGTTTCCTCCTCTCCATAGCAAGGACATCAGACCAATGATCTCTGAGTCTCTCCAGCTACAATATTCTAGGCTTTGGGTGTTCACGATACTCAAGACAGGCCAGTCCTACCCTAAGCCATATACAAGTCCCCCTCCTACTCTGAGGAGCGATGATGTTGATGAACCCCACACGGAGACTGCTCGGTTCCTCATTTCATCTCTCTTCTTTGATTCCAGGGTCCATGCAAATAGCTCCCTTTTAAGTGCAGGAGAAACATCATCCACCATCTGAATAGCATTTTGGATGGTGTCCAAAAGATTGTTATAATGAAGTAAAAGATTAACATCTTCACCTATGACACCTGTTTACCGGATATATGAGTTACCACAGCTTTGCTGTGAGGTGACATGTTCCCACTGGGCTGGGGAAGCTGGCTATCTTTCCTCACTGGGCAGCAGGTCAGCCTGTGATTCTTCAGACTTACTTCAGACTTACTTCAAACTAGTATCCCCAAACTCAAACTTCCTAATCAGATTCCTTTCATTACTACCCCCTAGTATAGTGCTGGGCACACAGAAGGCGCTTAATAAATGTGTATAGACTTATTTCCAAGAGGAAAAAACAACCAGCATTCAGTTACCTGTGTTTGCCAAACAAATCACCCACAACTCGGTGGATTAAAACGATTATTTCTTGTGAATCTGTGGGTTGATGGGGCTCACCTGGGTGGTTCGGCTGGGCTATCATTGAGCAACTGGATTCATGCAGGAACATGGCCAAGGCTGGACAATACCTGAAATGGTCTCTCATCCTCAGGGTCTTTCTTCCATGGCTCCACATTATTGAGTGGCCTAAGCCTGGACTTCCTTATAAGGATGGTGGTTGGGTTCCGAGAAGGACTGTTTTGAGAAAGCAGGCCCAAGGTGCAACACTTATTAAAACTCTGATTGGCTCATGCTTGTGAATGTCCCATTGGTCAAAGCCACATGTCCACATGGCCAGCCCATCAATGTGGGAAGGGACACATAAAAGTGTGAACTCTGGGAGATGTGGCACACTGAACACCACCAATGCAGTAATCTACTACAGCTGGTGAATCCCTCCTCTCCCCATGGGAAGCCATGACACCCTGGGCCACCCTCCTCTCTCCCCAGAGCTAGGAGACAGGAAGGTTTCTCAGCAGAGAGCCATCTCCCAGAGGCCAGGGAGTCAAGTCAGCCACTCTTGAGGTGAGGAGAACTTTCCTCGAGTCACCTCATGGTAAGGCCCAAAAGTAACAAAAAGCATGCCTGATGTCTTCTCAGATCCTTGGGGTGTGGATGGGACTTCCACTTGCACTCACCCACTCACTGAAAACAGTGTCTGCATGCTGCTGTTATGAAACATTCCTGGACAGAAGCGATCCTTTGTTAACGAGGTAGGAGAGGAACCTATGAATTCTGCCTTGCAATCTCCTCAGCCATGGAAACACCTCTCCCTCTCAGAGAAGCAAACGTGTCCTGCGGTGATGAACAGCATGGTCCCTGACAGCAGATGGCTTGGGTTCACATCCAAGCTCTGCTCCACACCAGCTCTACAGACTTGGGCACCTGCCCAACCTTCCCTCACTGAATTTTCATCAGGATCCCCTGTTCACACCCACCAGTGGTACAGGCATGACAGTCCCGTCAGGCAACACAGGAGAGTCCTGCTGGGTGGCACCTACAAGATGCCCAAAGTGACAGTCGTGCATGAACAGCCCTGTCCTGAACATGTGAAGTCACAGTCCATGTGAAGCACTCAAATACAGCCACTCATGAAATAAGCACCAGGCAAACACTTGCTATCATTCATGATGAATCCATAAAAAACTTTTTTCAAACTACAAAAACTAAAAGTAGCAAAAACCAAACTGATCTTGCAAATCTGAAAAAAGGAATAAACTAAAAAGGGGGGCTCACTCCCACAATCTCATCCTATAAAGAGTATCCTATTAACCACTTGACATGTGTTTTTCTATAAAATACATATACATTATCTCTTCTTTACCAAAAATTCTCAATCTACTCTTTACTGTTTGTAGCCTGCCAATTTAAACTTGATATAGCAAAAATACTGGCCATTTGTATTACTCTCCAATTTGCTTTTTCTGTCTGCATGTATTTTGCTGTATAAAACATCCCTTACTACAGGACATTACAGAATTTGTGATTTCTCATAAATGTAAGCAGAACTGTGATGAATATACTCATCCACATCCGTTATATTCTCAACAAATTCCTAGAAAAAGAAATTCTGGGCTCACAGGGAATGCCTAGCTTTAGGGCTGACTGATTCCGGTATCGCTGGACTGGCCTGGAGAGGCATGTACCTGGGAGGCACAGTAGGAAGGAACGCATACGTGTGCTCCATGTCCGGTCAGCCATGGGACTGCCTTCTCACCAGGGACTTAACAGTGCCAGCCTCCAAGGCCAGAGACATCCTGTTGTGGTGCAGCCTCCCCTCCTACACCCTCTCTGCACACAAGATCTCATTATGCCTCCCAGATCCACACACCTGCTCTGATGACTGTATCTCTGCCTGACAGTCCCACAAGGTCCTCTCAGCTCCTCCTAATTCAGCCTCCTTGTCCGCTTCCCATAACCTGTCTGGGAAAGTGGCCCCAGGCTTTCAAGTCTGGCTCTACATCTGCTAGCCATCACACAGCCTGGCTGTGGACAAAAGACACAGCCTTCTTGAGCTGCAAACTGGGACTGTAATGTGGCCATCTCAGGAATGGAGGATTCTGTGAGGTGACGGAGGTCCTGGGGCTTAGAGTTAATGCTCAGTAATGGTAATAAGAGCAATTTTGAGTGTGATGTTTATTCTTCACCCAGCGCTCCAACTGAGAAACTCACAGCCAACTTCTTTCCTCATCCCAAGCTCTCTGCTCTTCCACATACCCAGGCAGTGAGCCACATAAATGGCCCCTGAACTATTCCTGCTGCCCTGTTCCTTGCATGCACACATCAGCCAATGGTCTCCTAGTTCCCTCCTCACCCGGAGCCAGCACACAGCAAATGCCTGGAAAACCACGTGAGCAAACAGTACATTGGGTCCCAACACCGAGGAGCTGTGCGACGACAGCAAATCACCTCCTCTCTCCAGACCCTGCTTCCTCACCTGGAAAAGCCTTTCTAAGGCCATCCCAGCTGGAACCGCCGTGATCCACCCCCCACCCCCAGGGAACCCAGGAGCCTGGCTGCATAACTCAGGCAGGCTGATTTGAGTGGGAGAGGAATGAGATAACACCTACTAGATGACCTCTTTTTATCTCCTAAACCATCAAACTCTCCCTGAGATTTCTGGACTACCGTCCCTTGGCTGGCTCAGAAATTTATTAGTTCTACCAATATTTTCTTTGTAGTTCTATAAAGCAAGCTCAAACTCAGTGAGCACTGCCTATGCAAAGACCTTAAACCACATGTTTATTTTCCTGAGCTATAAAAAGTTTATAGGGAACTGGACTGCTTGTCCAGCATCATGCTCAGAATTGCTACTACATACCCCAGGAAGACAGAGGGCTCTGTGTCAGCCTAGAGAAGGGGGGGTGGAGAGGAAGTAGGTGGGAGATAGCTGTCCAGCCCTCCAGAAAAGGGCACAGGGCATGGGACAGGATAACACAGTTGCAAATCCAGAGAAGGGGAGACAGATGGAGGAGACTGAAGCCTAACTACTCCATGCAGCAAAGCCATGTGGTCAGAATGCTGAAAGACATGGTTCTGCGCTTCAGGTCTCTCTCTTGTCAAAGCGTCTTTGAGGACACTGAGTCAGCAGAAGCACTGGGACTGGCCCTGGCTGAAGCCCCCCGCCCTCTTCTAATATAATCCCTCCTAGAATATGGAGTTCTAGAGGCCAGAACAAAGTACCCAAGAGAGACACCTTTGTTCTGATGCCCTCAGGTTGCCCACTGATCCCAGCCCATCCATTTTACTCATCTCCAACTACCCCAATACTTCACAAGAATGAGGCCAGGATGTCATTCAGAACATGGATCCCCTGACAGGTTTATCCACCAGCATGACATTTCTGGAATCCCTGATTTAGACGAGTCTCTGAGACTAGAGTACTTCCTCTTAGAACACAGGTTCTGGTTTTCCAGCTGAGGCCAAGACCTTCAAGGGCACATCTTGGTTGGCTACTGAGCCCAGCATGTACCCCTGGCCAAGGCACCGTAAAGCTGGCTATGTCTGGGTCCTTGATTCCCCAGCCCACTTCCTACTGTGCACCATCCAGGACCTCCAGGGGGTCACATCACAAGAGGAAGGGAGTAAAAAGAGGTGTGTGAAGACCCTTGGTCTCCAGCACTAGGTGAGGGTGAGTGCTAGATGGAGGTCACTCAGTTACATCCAAGGTCTCTTCAACCCTGAAGTCCTATGACTCTTTAGTCAAAAGAAGAAAACATAAATAAATAAAGGACCCATTTGCTCCGAGAAGTGATTCCCAGCCTTCACAAGTATAACACCTAATCTCTACTGCAAACATTTCATAATGCTCTTTCACTATCCTGAAAATGAAAAATAATCCACACTCATGCTTTAGAGGATGAACACGAACCTCATAAGCCTTTGGAAGTTAAATCGGACAATACTGACAAAGGGCATCTCACACCCCAAAGCACAAAGCGAGAGCTCCCTCGTTTTATTCTGTGGTAATACCAATCGCCTGAGTTCCCTGAGCCCACCTGAGGCACAGACACCTGAATGGGCCCTCACCGTCTCCGGCCCCAAGAAAGTGGCGGCCTAGGCCGAAGCCCCATGCGAGATGAGGCTGGGTGGGTTCTCCACCTACAGACCCCAAAGGGACACCCACCCAGGGCTCCCTTCCTGGGGAATCACGGGAAATTGCGCAGGAACAGGAAACACAGGGCCTCCCACGCCTGCGAGCAACTGCAAGGAGCCTCTGGGGTCCCTGCATGGGGGTGACTGGCTTCCCCCCACTCACCTGCCGTAGCATCACAACCTCATGCCAGGGTGGAGCCTCAAGGATAGCATCGTACTTCGGCTGGATCCTGCGGCCCCCACCTGCTGAGAGACACCACGCAGGGCTTTAGGAGAGGGCATAAGCACCTGGGAGCATCTGCGCATGCCCACACACCCTTGTTACCCTCACGCACACCCCTCCCACCTGTGCGCGCCTGAGCGCCTGCCTCATAGTACTTGCCACGTGCGTCCTTATGTGCTCCGCCCACGTACGCCCCACTCCTGAGCGTGCCCCACAACCTTCCGCCTGCCTGTGTACGGCCCACCTGGGTGCGTCGTGGTGTTCACCTGCGGGTGTTCTCGGGGCCTCGGCGTGCTCCGTTCCTGCTCAGCTGAGAGCGCCTGGCTCAACTCCCGTTGGGGCCCCGCTTCCCTGCGGCACCCATGGAAGAACCGAGATGCTGGGCTGGGAGAGAACACAGCTGACCACTTGCGGAGTTCGGAGTTAAAACCAGTTTTTCTCCTGGGAGAATTTCTTTCAGCCGCTGCATGTGGCCTTCACCCTCTGCAGTGTTCAGAGCCGGGCGGCTGTTACTCAGCACACCTCAGATTTCAGGGGCTGTATCATCCCTTACAGAGAGGGGCGCTGTGAGTTCCCAAAGCTCTAGAGTCCTGGCCAAATAACCAGCCACGTGCACAGAATCATGCATTTGACGTTTCATGTTTTATCTTAAAAACTTTTAAAGGTTGCTTCATAACACATCCGCGTTTCTCGTCCTATAAAAATGTTTGAAAGGTGTAACACTTGAGCAAAGGTGGCTCTCAGGGCGCCTTTCTATAACCAGGCACAGACTCTGTCTCCAGGCAGCCTACGGCCAGGGGCTCTGGAGCCTTCTGTGTCCAGACCCTGTCCAGGGGCGCCCAGGGACCTCCACCCCAAAATAACATTTTAAATGGATGAAGTAAAACACACAAGAACATAGAGAAATACAGCTGTATCAAACTATAACACTTTTCTTAAACTTAGTTTCGGATATATTACAGGCTTTTTAAAGATAGCTTTTTAAAAAACCAGCTCACCTATTTTTACTGGTATGTTTTCACTACATGATAATTACCCATTCCCATTTCTCCAAGTCTTGACCCAGGTGCTCCTAGAGTCACTTCCAGGCTCACATGGTACCTTCTTTTGCTGCAGAAGAGGGGAAGAAGGTCCCTCATATTAGGAGAGGGACTCTAGGTACCATGGCGCTGAAAGAGAAGTGCCTGAGACCAGCGAGCACCTTTCAAACCCCCCGAAGTCAGGCGCTCAGCCCTCTCAGTCACATCTTGCAGCATTCTGACTATCAAGAAGGATCTATATGCAAATTTCAGAACCTGCCTGTTGGTTCTCTTTGCAAAGAGTTAGAATGGTGGCATGGGAGGAAATCCAGAGAGACAGGCTAATGGGTGTAGAAGACTGCTAATGGGACCTTCAGGTCCCCAGGCTGTCAGCCCTGTCTCCCTTAAGCACAAATTTGGAGTTCCAATTCAGCGAGGTGGAGTTGTGTCTCATTTGTTGATTTGAGGGAAGAAAAAAAACCAAATCACTTTTCTTTTGGAGGCTTTGTATTTTAAGAAAATCAATATTTTAACCATTCATGTATTCAGTGAAGGTGAGGGTTTGTTTTCATGCACTAGGTTGAGGGGAAGTTAGGAACAATTTTCATCATATGCTAGAAATTATTTCTTTGCATTTGGCTCCATACAGCATGCATTTGGAAATAAGAATGACACCGCTTGTGAACAGGAGTGTATTTTTTTTTACAACTTCTGTTACTGTTTAATTTTTCAACAACTTTTTTTCTCCTGAAGATGAAATATCTACTTTTTAAAAGAAAACCAGGGGCTGGGGATTTAGCTCAGTGGTTCTGGCGCCTGCCACACAAGCACAAGGTCCCGAGTTTGATCCCTGGTACCAAAAAAAAAGAAGAAGAAAAAGAAAAGAAAAGCTGAAAATTATAATCAGAATGCACCTGGGATGTCTGACTTTAAAGTTTAGGGGTCAAAACATAGCCCCCCAGTGTTGTCTCAAGGGCACTGCACATGGACCCAGTATATTGAGTGTATCAACCTGTCTCTCCCTTTAGGTCCCCTCCCCTGTATGTCCAGGAAATCTCAGATGTCAATCTTGCTGTTCTCAACAGAATCTAGATATGTTAAGAATTACAGAGTCCCTCCACATATGGCTACTGACTAGACTCGAAGCACCTAGTCACTTGTGAGTCTTGAGCTCTGGTTATTGTCACTCAACTGGCTTTATTTCAGATTTACTGCACCCTCACATCCCGGGACTATAACCTGGGATTTGGCTCTATCCTGACTAATGTTGCCGTGAAATCTCAGGGAAGAGAGGTTGGGATCTTGTTTTAGTTTCTCCCAGAAGGCTCTTGAACTCCTTATGTAAATTTGCTCACATCTATCCAGTAAGTTTCAAGTTAATTATACACAAACTGCCAAAGAAAATCAGCTGCTACTACTGGTCTATCACCTACTACTGGCCTACTGCTGCAAAACAAGCCACCCCATAACACACTGGCTTCGTGCAAGAACCACATATTTGCTCATGATTCTACAGTCTGGAGGCTGGACTGAGGAGGAATGAACAAAAGTCTTACTCAAATGCTTGGCCCTTCGGCTGCTGTGGCTGGAACAACATAGAGCAGTGACACCTGTGTCCCTAACGGAGAAGCCTGTCTCATATGGGCCTGTGCAAGAGTTCCAAAATGGCTGGAGCTTCCAGACCTCCCAGGGTCTCAGAGGTTCCAGAAGATCACTTCCCACAAAGTCAGCCCAGACTGCAGGGGAGAATAGAATCTCAGTGCCTGCAAGTATAGGAAGAATTGTCACTGGCTGTGGTTGCAGACCAGTCTTACCCTGGCCAATGCACCACAGATGACAACTGCATCCTACCCTGGTGGGTTTCATGACACTGGAAAGGGGGGCAAGGGCCTGAGCCCATGTGCGTCTGTGTGTGTGTGTGTGTGTGTGTGTGTGTGTGTGTGTGTGTGTAAGATGCAGGACAGTAGTGGGGCAAGCTGGGGTGAAGTGGGGGCAGAGTGGCTCCAAAACACCGGGCCTGCAGAGCCCTTCCCCACAAGCCAAGCTAAGCCAAGCTAAAACTGAAAGCAAACAAAAAAAAACTCCTCAGAGGCTGCAGAAATCTTTCCATGCAAGGTGAGTTATTGTCTCTAAGTAGTAAATAAAAATACAAGTTGGTCAGTTAACTCAGCCAGATCAAAGGCAGAAGGAGCCCTATATCTCTCTGGCCCCTTGCCAGATAAGGCCTGTAGTGAAGTGAGAAACACCCACAAGCAGATTGTGTGGCAGATCCATCTGTCATCTGTACAGATGCAATGCACATTGTCATTACTTGTTTAATGTGGATGATATAAACTTACTTCATAAACTGATAAAGTCTCAGTTGATGATTTTTTTTACCCACAGGCTGTATTGACCTTAAGACAGAAGAGGCCTAGATTGGAATTCTGCCCCCGTGGGTGTGTCTGGGGAGCACATGGCTGAGGTCATAGAAGCAAGTGTGACCAGAGGAACAAAGAGTAGCTGGAGGAACACAGCCTAAGGGACAAGGCAGCCATGTGAGGCCAACGTGAACCAGACAGGACAATCCCCTTCGGGAACAGAGGGTACCCAGAATTAGAGTCTGAGTTCAAATCTCTTGCTCTATTTTGTCACCTCTGAAGTACACATGGACTCATTTCTCATGTAAGGAGCTAGAAAGCAGAAGGGAAAGAGAAATGCATCACTACCAAGGTCTGGAACAGCACGGTTGTGGGAGCCTGAAGCCTTCCCAGATAACAAGAGAGGACTCTTCCCCTGGACTGTGGGCCAGAGCTAAGGGGATGTATTGGTCATTTTCTGGTCATCAGGACAAAATACCAGACACTTCCCGCTTAAAGGAGGAGAAGTTTATTTGGGCTCACAGTTTCACTGGATTCTGTCCATGGTCACCACCTCCAAGGCAGAAACCTAATGGCAGAACAGCTTGGTGGAGGAGAGCTGCTCACATCATGGCGGCCAGGAAGCAGAGGGAGAAGAGAGGAACCAGGATGAGAATGTGCCCTTCCAAGTGACCCACCCTTTCCAACCAGGGTCCACCTCCAAACATGAGACTTCTGAGGGACATTTGAGATCTAAACCATAACAGGAGACAGCTCCAAGAAATGTTTGGGGGACATTTGGCAGGAGCTCTGGGGATGAGAGCAGTAAGATATGAGTTCTTACTGTGAAGGAGGCCTCTGTGCTGCTAATTGGCTGGAGAGGGTGAGAAAACAGGGAGCCCAAGAGGACTTCTATTGACTCATTGTTCTTCGGTGTATGGATGTAAATCTCTATTCAGTATTTGAGATGCCACCAGCAAAGTGAGTAAGCCCTCTACACACTAGGGTCCCTGTGGTTCCCCAGGGGATCAAGGGATGCCACTGTAAACACCCTCCTGGGATGAGGAGATGGTGGAGGTACAACAGGATGCCCAATGTCCTGGTCCTCAGGTATCTCCAGTGCCCTCAGCACCTCATATGTCATCAGGTGGGTTGGAAATGCACGTGAACTCTAGCTCAGAGTAGCTGGGAAAATATATCTGAAGGGATGTCGTCATGGCTGACTCCCAACGTTTTCTACGAATTCAGTGGTTCGGAAATAACATGAGGTTGGAAGAAAAAATTCATCAATGGGCATGAACTTAGAACAAATATCTGCTGAACTTTCAGGTTGAGACTTATTTCTGCTGTGGGATCCTCTGAGTGCTTGTGGGCATTTTTTTGGTAAAGACTTTATGCTGCTCATTCAAATAAAAAATTTTTTTTAAAAACTGCCTCTGCCTTGGTCCTACCATACCAGGTTCTGAGACCTCCACTACTGCTATGTTCCAAGGTGCTTGTGGAGGTCATGATTTTCAAATCACTTTTGGATCCAGAGCCCGCACCCAGTGACATGCAGTATTTGCAGGTACATGGAGGTCCCCGGTGGTGATACCCGTCCTCCTCCCCTCCCCCCAGTTTCCATGAGCAAGAGAGAAACAAATCAACTCACATGGTTGGTTTTGAACTGAGCCAAACTGTGAACCCCAACCCAGCCCACACTGCTCTCTTCAACTAAAAGCCAAACCAAACCCAAGTGCTACTTTTCAAA